GAGATTTTGATGATCTCAGCCATTTCTTACTCCCTACAGTTAAAAGCCAGGTGACCTAAATGATCACCAGGGCACTTTAGCATTAGGTTTAAACATTTGTATTTCGAACGCTATAGTGTTCCTTTAAATGCTGATTGGACAGCCAGCGCTGCAAGTCCTATATTTTTACATATTTCTTACATTTCAGTTAAAGAATGTTTGGGATGTGCCATGCATATGACTATGACATATATGTAAAGGCTTTGCCTGGAGTTGTGGGAGGGGCTTATGGACCTATATAAGTGACTCCCCCCTTTTCTACCCTACCGTTATCGGTCTGGCAATCTGTATGCTGCTACTTCCGGTGCATACAGACCGCCAATTTCGCTCCTGTGTCCTGACCGTGCTTCTGCCTCCTGTCCAGGTTCTGCCCGGCATTGCTCGTACATCATGGCTGGATTCCCTGCAGCACAGGCTTCGTTGCCGCAGTCCGCTCCTCTGACAGCCGCCCAGCTGACCCAGAAGCTCCAGCTGACCTTTGACCCTGTGGATGCTGGCGCCCTCACTTGGCGTCATCACGGTTTGATACTAATTTCGCTTATGCTCATTTCACATAAATTTCACTGTTCACCTGTTTTCGTGGGTTAGTCCATGTGAACGCAAACCTCCATTCGTGGAAAGCTTTCAGGCTCACGCCTGCACGGATACCAACCCATTCGGCTCTTTCCATACGAACAGTTTTGTTTACGCATGAACACGGTCGCATGTTTCATTCGGTTAAGTGGGCACAAAGGCTCTAGGGCCGTATAGAATCTGATGGAGTCCGGGGGGTTTAGTTGTTTTACAAACAAATCCCTGCGAAGGGTCACGAGCAGAAACTGTATGAATACAATACGTTCGCACACAATACGTTTGCACCTTTTCTCACAAACGGTGGTCATAGGAACTCTCTATTATGTTGAAATCCCTCTGGTTTCACATATACAACCTAGTTAGATTTTGGCTCGTGGCCCTCTAGGGTTCATTACTTGTCATATTATTTGCAGGTATCAATTAACAGATTACTTTGGTTCAATGTAGTGGGTCTTCTTTATGAATCAGCTTTTTGGTTTGGTCTTTAATAAGGTTCTAATAATAATTCAAACAGGTTTTCCTTCTGGTGGCATTGGGATACGTTGTATCATTACAAGTTTAGTTAAGCTGTCCATATTTTCATTTGCTTTTAACGTATGGTCAATTCAAGAGTGCGAGGTGTGACAATTGAAAGCAGCATTTGCTCTTCAGACCTCGAATCCTATTCCAAAGAATAAATTGTTATATTTTTTTATATTTTTTGGTATGTGTACACTCAGGATCTTCTAAGTGATATGTGTAATAATTTGTATACCCGAATTGTTGTTAATAGATATAGGCCTCTCCTTTCCCTTTCCACCTCCTTTAGTGGGAATCTCAATTTTGGTGTCAGGTAAGTATATAAATAAATTAAAAAAAAGAGGAGCATTACCTCCTTCCATTCCTGTTGCCTTCCTACAACTGGTCTTATTTCCTTTTCATTAGGTTATGGACTGTATAAGCACAAGCATTAACTCCAGGTATGTGATGTTAGTATCATGGGCATCCGCATCCCCCCCCCTGGATTTTTCAGCTTGTTCTGCTATTTTTCGTGTGAGATTTAAAACGAACTGCAATACCGGCTGTGTATGGAGAGAGACAGGGATAGGAAGCTGCATCTAACCCTGCTTCTCTCTGCTGATTGAAACCGCAGGGGAGCAACACATGCAGCCAGAGACAGCCTACAGATCAGGTAAGTGAGGGATGGGGGGTGGGGTTTAAAGCAGCTTAGGGGAGTGAGGCATGTGGGGGGCAGCCTATAGATTAGGGGAGTGAGGCATGTGGGGCAGCCTATAGATTAGAGGTGAGGAGGCATGTATGAGGGGGGCATCCTATAGATTGGTAGAGGCATGGGGGGCAGCCTATAGATTAGGCAAGTGAGGCATGGGGGGCAGCCTATAGATTAGGCAGAAGTGAGGCACGAGAGGCGGTTGCCTAGATTAGGCAAAATGAGGCCGCGAGGGGGGCAGTTTATAGATTAGGCAAGTGAGGCACGAGGGGGGCACTTTATAGCAGTTTATAGATTAGGGAAGTGAGGCATGGGGGGTGGGGGCACAGCCTAAATGAAAAGTCAGCAAGGAGCAGGAAGGATCTGCAAGGAGCAGGGGAAGTAGGGGTCTGCAAGGAGCAGGGGCAGCAAGGAGCAGGAAGGGTATGCAAGGAGCAGGGGCAGCAAGGGACAAGAAGGGTCTGCAAGGAGCAGAAAGGGACAGAAGGAGCACAAAGGTAAAGGAGCAGAAAGAATCAGAAGGAGCACAAAGGTAAAGTAGAAGAAGGAGCAGAAAGGGACAGCAAGGAGCACAAAGCTAAAGTAGGAGAAGGAGCAGAAAGGGTTTGCAATGAGCAGAAAGGAATCAGAATGAGAAAGGAGCAGAAGGGTGCAAAATAAGCAGAAAGGAGCAGAAGGATACAAATATAGAAGACAGTGTCAGAAGAAAAAGAAGACTGTCAAATGAAGGAGAAGAAAAGGAGATTGGAGCAGGAAGGACCACATCATAAGGCTTTGGTACCTGGGCCTGGCAGCGAAACTCTGGACCTTCTCATCTCCCCAGGTAAAAAAAAGTATCAGTGTTAATGTGTTTACTTTTATTTACCGAGTGTCAGGAAGCACAGAGTGCCGCTAGGTAGGGGTGTTGCTGATTGGCTAGAGCGGTCAGCTGGTACTCTAAGCCAATCAGTAGCTCCCCATTCATAAAAAAGTAAAAAACTTTTATGAACCGGGAACTAGCGATTGGCTTAGAGCGTCAACTGTCAACTCTAGCCAATCAGCGGCACCCATGCCTGACGTCAATCTGCACTTCCTGACACTCCATTTCAGATGCGACATGGAGCTGGAGGAAGCCATTTGAGAGCGGTTTAACCCCTTAAAAGAAAGAGAGCACCCAGGGGCTTCCTGGCATCATAGCATTTTCATTTAGATGAAGTTGTTATGGTGACCAGAATGTTCCTTTAATTTGCTTAAAGGAACACTATAGTGTCAGGAATACAAACATGTATTCCTGACACCATAGTTGTGAAAACGCTATTCACCCTGGCTTTATGTGATAATGACTATGCTCCTCCCCTTCATGACACTGTCAAAAAGGGGCCAAGCATAGATGTCATTACAATTATGCCCCCCCCCTGAAAAATTCCTGCGGACGCCCATGGTTAGTATTAACTCCAACAACTTACCCCTAGTTAGAAGGTTTACTGGCCTTTAGAGAACTAGGTGGCCATTAGGATTTATGGTTCTGGTTTTCTCCGCCATAGAGTCAGTGGTCCCGCAAAGGCCAACACCCATCCTCCACGCATGAGGTAATATGCCCCACAGGCCAACACATAGCTAGCCGCCTCGCACGGTTGCATAGAGAGGGCTTCACTTGTCACTCCCAACCTATCTTATTCTTTAATAGTCACAGAGTGTCAGAATCTTAGCTGATGTGCAGTCTGACATGCAGAGTTATACGCTCACCCTTGCAAATAAACACAGACCAAGGTGACCAGGTAAGAAGCCACCTAGGCTGTGAGTCTGTGCACAGGGGCTGTGCAGGAATATAGCTCCAAGTCGCAGTACAGGCAAGGACAAGCAGAAGAGTAGTCATGGAAAGCCGAAGTCAGGGGAATCCAGAGGTCAGAATAAACAATGAGATAAGTCAAGGTCAGGAGCCGTCTGGAGAACACTAGATCAAGATACAAAAATACAGGAACCAAAGTCAATGAACTGACACTGCCCTCAGGGAGAGGCAGTGTTTTATATCTGGCTAATTAGCAATAAGCTTCAGGTGGACCAAGATAGACAGGGGCAGCCACAGGAAAAGTCCAGCCCCCAGCGCTGGAGATAAGGCAAGGATAAACATCAGGCTGAAACAAGAACTAAAGTGTGGCTCAGAGGCAAAACAGCAGGCCCAGGACACAGAAGGATCCTGGGCCTGCTGGGCACTTCCGGGGCAATCACGTCTGAGGCCAACGTCTGAGGCCAACACCCAGCCACAACCTTCAGTGGCCACACAACCTCTTGCGCCAACTCATAGGTTAAGCCTCTCAAACCTAGTGAATTGTTTCGCCACTTGGCACTATCTAGCCAGCCAGTAAAACAAATCCATTCTAAGTATGTCATTGCTATATATTTCAGTATGTATCAGATCCCTTGACAATACGTCAATCCCCAGCACTCCTGTCAGGTCCGCTACACATAAGGTGATACTAGTAGCCCTGCATCTATCAGGCCATGGACCATTCCTTGCATCACAGCCGTGGGGATCAGTACTGATAATACAGACGCACGAGTAGCTCAAGCAACACCGATCTCCATGCGATGATGTCGTCACTTGTGTCCTCAACTGGAAAAATAAACGATAGGCTGGAAAGGCTAGAAGCTAGTCTTCCTATACCAACAACAGGGTCCCTTGCTGCATAACTTCCAGGCCCGTCCCAGACACAACCGGGTAATAGTGTATCCTCTTGTTCAGGCTTGCATGTTGTTAACCCAGCACACATGATACCTGCAAATCTCAAAAAAGACATCCTGGAGGCAGAGCCGGATTATCATAGGGGCTGATGGAGCTGAAGCTCCAGGCCCAGGCCCAGGCCCATGGAATAGGCCCATTTAAAAAAAAAAAAAAAATTTACTTTTTTTTTTTTTTTTTTACACACACTACTCTTAGGTTTGCCACATGACTGGTATTTTACCAGTATTTGAGGCTGCCTGGCCGTACCGGTATTGCAATAATACTGGCAATACAAATGCAGGTATTTTTCTCAGTATAAACGGAGATTACTCTGTAATACCAGCACTAACCAGTAGGGGTCACTGTGTGTGGAGAGAGGCAGGGATAGGAAGTTACAGCATATCCCTCCCTGCCTCTCTCTACTCACGGATCCGCAGGGGAGCAGCTACACAGCACAGAGAGTACAGACAGCAGCTCCCAGTCTGTGTCCCCATGTCTCCCAGTGTCCACATGTCTCCCAGCCAGTCCCCCTAGTGGCTCAGTGTCCCCCTAGTGTCCCCATGTCTCCCAGTGTCCCTATGTCTCCCAGCCAGTGTCTCTAGTGTCTGTGTCACCATGTCTCCCAGTGTCTGTGTCCCATGTCTCTCAGTGTCCCTAGTATCCCCAAATGTCCCCATGTCTCCCAGTGTCCCCAAGTGTTTCCATGCCTGTGTCTCCATGCCTCCCAGCCAATGTCCCTAGTGTCTCAGTATCCCCATGTCTCTCAGTGTCCTTAGTGTCCCCATGTCTTCCAGTGTCTGTGTCTCTGTGTCCCTAGTGTCTGTGTCCCCATTTAAATATCCCTCTGGCCTCTGACTGCAGAACGTGTGCGTGTGTGTGACCCTATAGTTATAGTGCTTGTCGCTTGTTTCATTTTTGTTCTCACTGTTACAGATCACATGCGAAATCCATGTGCCCTAATAAAATGCATTCCAAACCTTATTTGACCTTGGTAAATGTTGGTGCACTAGCTAGATTTCTGTCCAAACATCTGTCCACACACCTGGTTGAATTTTTAATAACAGGCTTTACATGATTTCATACGAGCATTATTCACATGCCAGCAGGTATAGTTGAATGCAACAAACTTCAATCAGCCATGGCTGATATATAAGCGGTAGATATACTGCTACAACAAAAATTGGGCCATTTAAGGAACCTCCATTTTCCAACTGGAGGACAAACCCTATTGGTCTTGTCACCGGGAAGAACTCAGCAAAACAGAAATTGATCATAGATCTCTCTGCACCACACTCCTCTGTAGTCCCTAGTCTCAACTCCTTGATTCCCTCGGAAGAGTTTTCCCTCTAGTATGCAACAATTGACAATGCCATAGACACGATCATTACAGCAGACATAGGGGCCTGGCTTAGCAAAACCAACATTTTTTATGCTTTTAAGTTGTTACCCATTCATCTGTCTTTATGGCACCTGCACGGTATCAAATAGAATGGCCTGTACTATATTTACACAAGGCTTACCTTTGGATCAAAAAGCAGTCTTAAAATATCTGACACATTTGCAGAGACCTTGTGTTGGCTCCTCTTGAATACGTGCCATACAGTAATCCACTATCTGGATGATTTTCTATTTATTGAAAGCAAATCACCCTCCTCCCCCCAAGCAATTTACGTAAAGCAATTAAACTATTTCAGATATTAGGGGTTCTATTCTCTCCCCAAACTCCCTCAACTCACAAGCTACCGCTGACCTTCTCGCAAATTTCTATTACAATGGAATAGGAAAAGTATGTGTCACCCACAGTTATCTGTTCATTCCCCTGTCATTTGGACAGATTCGGCAGCTACCACTGGGTTTGCAGCCATTTTCGGCAACAATTGGCTTTGGGGTAGTTGGCCAGAGGAAGTACGGGACATAGAAGGGTTTTCTCGCAACTCAGCCTTGTTTGAAGTGTACCCTATAGTAGCTGTAGCAGTGGTTTGACAGTCCAGTGTTTTTCCAACAATCAAGAAATTTGCCATGTTATTGACACAGGGCGTTCATCTTCACTGACCATCATGAGGTTTATCAGGAAACTGACTTGGTTAGCAGCCTGTAATCAATTCTACTTGGTTTGTAGTAATGTCCCAGGAGTTTTTTAATACCGCAGCTGATCAATTGTCTGTTTTTAATTCCAGGCATTCTGAGCAACCCTACCTACTGCCTCAAGTCTAGCCACAACCGCCTCGCCCTGCTCCACCCCCCCGTTCCAAGATCTAATCATGGATTAACTGAATTACTGCACCATAGCCAAGTCTTAACAAGTATGGCTCCATCAACTAATACCTGTCGATCATACGATAGGGCTTTCTCTCTGTACTAAAGATTCATGATGGAACATCTCTTAAATAACATGTTTGACATTTCATCTCTGGTAACTTTCGCTACTTTTTGCCACCTTAAAGTAAGGCTGTCTCATAATACCATCAAATTATACTTGACTGGCATCGAACATCATATGTACTCTAGTTTCCCAAACAATACCAGTTTCCTTTCCTCTTATCCCATCAAGACCATACTTAAAAGTATAACCAAAGTCAGCAGCCCTACCTCACAACAAAGGTTGCCAATCAAAATGCAATTGTTTAAAGATCTGTCCGATTTGCTAGATCAGCCCCTTTTCAACACGTCACAAAGACAGTCATCAAAACCACTATTTATCTGGCATTTTATGGATTCCTTAGACTACAGTAATTCACCATCAGTAGCTGGCACGACTCATAAACTCCTATCTAGTAAAGCACCAGGATCACTACGTCCTGTCACTACCCGTTACCAAAACTAACCAACTGGGTCAGCTAGTCCAGATCCCTTACTTTTTTTTATTTTTTTTATTTCACTTTTTCTTTATTTCCGAAGGTATACGTGTATGGGATACAGAAAAAAGAAATAGGTGACATTCAATGCATACATAATAGGGTCATCTAACAGTTCGTGCTATTACACATATCATTTTGTTCTGTGGTATGATGTCTGCATCGTCCCTGGGGCGGTTTTAATAATATGTGTATTCCTGTATTATTTAACCGGATACGGGGCACTCTCTGTCATAAGTCGTCGAAAGGGTCGGTATGCAACTTAGTTCGGCAACGGGCCGTGGGTGAGAACATGAAACAGGGGAGGGGGTAGGGGCTAGGGGTGTCCTGCCTCTTACTTCAACTTAATATGGTAGTGAGTGTGCCTTGAACGGTGTCTACCAAGGTGACTCAAATTGGGGCTGTAGGTCGCCAACACGTCTGGGTCTTCGGTGCGTTACTCTAAGGGCATCTAAGTCCCCTGCACTCCCAAGGGTTTCTCCCAGAATTCCGTCCAGGGGCTCCATCTTTGGAGATGTATGTGTCTTTTCCCCAACATTGACCAGTGGATATCTTCCATGCCTCTTGTGTGATCTACCCTCTGTATCCACTGTTCTTTGGTAGGTGCGGTGGTGGTCCGCCAATATAGGGGGATAAGAGCATCGGCCTCCCCTAGTAGGAGTTGTAGTAACTGTTGTTTATGAGACTCTGGGAATGTGCGGGGCCAACCTAGTAGGATCTGTGATGGGGATAGGTGTGATGGTTGAGAGTATGAGAGACCAGAATCCCTGGATATCTCTGCAGCTCCACCATATGTGTTCCATGTCGCCGCGGCCATTGGAGCATCTCCAGCACGAACCGCTGATGGACGGCCAGATTGAGTGCAACTTATCTGGGGTTCTGTACCATCGGGTAACCCTTTTATAAAATGCTTCCTTGTGTGCTACGCTAAGCGGGGTTTTGATGCCTGTTTCTAAGATGTTCGACCAGTCTTTGTCAGAAATGTGTATACGGAGGTCTTTCATCCATTTCTGTTGGAATGATAAGGTTGTGGGTTCCCTTTCGGTGTCTTGCAAAATGTGGTATATTTTGGATAAGGGGCGTTTTGGGTCCCCCTCTGGGCCGCAAAGGGTCTCAAAGTGTGTGTCTGCTCTCTGCCTCCAGTGGGGTAGGACCGATCTTCTCAAGAGGGCCTTAAGTTGTGCTCTTCCTATTACCTCAATGAGTGTATCTTGCCTATGTGGGTTGTTTATAGCCTGAATAGTGGGTGGGTTTCCCCCAATCAGTTCTGTTATCTTTGGGGTGGGGGAGTCTAGGAGGCGGGTAAGGAGAGGGCCCCCGTGGCCCCCTTGAAAATCAGGATTGGCCGCTATAGGGAAAAACCGTGATATGCCGGGTGATAGTCCCCATATGTCTTTATACTTTCTCCATATAGTCAGGATGTTATGTATTAATGGATGTCTCGTAGGGGTGTGCGCTGTGGGGTGGCAGGTTTGCCAGGACAGGGAGTGTAATGGGACAGAGACAAAGCTTTGTTCCAGGGAGTACCACGATTTGGTCCTGGCGGTGTCAGTCCACTCTTTTAATCGGGTAAGCAGCACCGCTATATAATATTTGTAGAGGTGGGGTAAGCCCAGTCCGCCTCTGCCTGCAGAGGAGGTCAATGTAGTGTAGGCAATTCTCGCTGGTTTATTGCCCCAGATGTATTTGGTAAAGCATGTGCGTGTTTGCGCGAAGAATGTACTCGGGAGTGGAATAGGCAGTGCCTGGAATAGGTATAGTAGTTTCGGGAGGACCATCATCTTGATGATGTTGATCCGCCCTATCAAAGAGAAGTGGGGTAGATCCCATTTTAGGAGGTCCCGTTTGATGCCGTCTAGGAGGGGGGGATAATTAAGTTTGTATAGGCTGCTTGCGGAACAAGCTAGTTTTATTCCTAAGTAGGTCAGTCCTGTCCTGGCCCAGGGGAACGGGTGTAGTCGTTGGAGCCGTGTTTGTAGGGTTGGGGGGACTGAGATCCCCAGAATCTCACACTTATCTGTGTTAATCTTAAAATTCGAGAGGGCGCTAAAGGTTTGTATCTCTGAGTTGATTCGTGGTAATGTGATGGTGGGGTCTGTGATTGAGAAAAGGATGTCGTCCGCGAAGGCTGACACCTTCACTTCCCCTCCTCGGTGGTGGTAGCCCTTTATTTCACCGTGTTTCCTGATTGCATTCAGGAAAGGTTCCATAGCCAAGACAAATAAGAGGGGCGACAGAGGGCAGCCCTGTCGGGTGCCGTTGCTTATTGGAAACGGGGTGGAGAATTGTCCGTTTATCCTGACGGTGGCCGAGGGTCCTCTATATAGGGCTTGAATCCAATTTCGTAGTCTAGGGCCCACTCCCAAGACCTCCAAGACCCTGCCCAGCCCAGTCCACCCTGTCAAAGGCCTTTTCGGCGTCTATTGCCATCAGCAGGGTCGGTGTCCTGGTCACCTGCGCCCCATGAATGACATTTAGGATTTTCGTGGTGTTGTCCCTAGCCTCGCGACCTGGCACGAAGCCCGCCTGGTCAGAAGAGGCTTGAGTCTATTGGCGATCATTTTCGCCATTAGTTTTAGGTCTAGGTTTATGAGCGATATGGGTCGATAGCTACCGCATCTTGTGGGGTCCTTGCCTGGCTTGGGGATGATGGTAATGGATGCACGCAGCATCGGTGGTGGCAGTGTGGAGTCAAGTGCGAGGCCATTCAGCGTGCGTAGGAAGTGGGGTGCTAGCTCTTGTTTCAGGGTTCGGTAGTATCTGGCTGTCAGTCCGTCTGGACCAGGACTTTTACCGTTCGGGAGTGTTTTGATTGTGGAGAGGAGTTCTGTGTGTGTAAAAGGTTCGTCCAGTGTATGGATCTGGTCCACTGGGATCTTGCAAGATGTGTTGTCAGAAATGTAGTTCCACAGGGTATGTGGTTGTGTCGTCGGTGGGGTCAAGTTATAAAGGTCAGCGTAAAAAGTGGTGAACGCCTTGGCTATGTCTTCCGTGGTGTCGTGCTGTCTGCCTGAGTCGCCCACTATTTTATTTATGAAAGACTTTTGCTGTTTGGCTTTCAAGGCTCTGGCCAAAAGTTTCCCACTCCTATTTCCTTGTGCGTAGAACGTCCCCCTTGTCAGTTGGATAGATCTGTATGCCCTAGTAGTCAGGAGGGTTCTGAATTCAAGTCGTAGGGCTGTTAATTTTTGGAGGTTGTCATTTGTGGGGTCTTGTTTATGGCGGGTCTCCGCTGTTGTTATATCTGCTGTGAGCGCCTCTAGTTTGTGTGACCTTTCTTTTTTAAGTCGAGCGCCCCACTTAATAAGTAAACCCCTGATGACTCCCTTGTGGGCTTCCCACACCCAAGGATCTGACACCTCAGTGCCACTATTCTCCTTAAAGTAGGTCGCTACAGTCTGCCGTAGATCCTCTAATACCCTGTGTAGTAGGCCTGGACATATCCTGTAGTGTGAGAGTTAAGAGGATCGGGGCATGATCCGACCACGTAATGTTGCCTATGGATGCGTCCTGGACCATGGGGAGGTGTCTATGGCTGATCATGAACATATCTATTCTGGAGTAGCTTTTAGCTGTCTGAGAGTAGTACGAATAGTCTCTGCCTTGAGGGTGCATGATCCTCCAGCAGTCAGATAATTGGTGTGTGTGTAGCACGTTAGTGAACATCCTCCTTTGATGTCGTCTGGTGTCTGTAGTGGTGGAAGAGCTGTCAATTGAATGGTCAAGGACCATGTTCCAGTCTCCGCCCACTACCACTACCCCCTCGGCAAATGTCTCTAACTTGGTCAAACATGATCGTATGTAGGAGGTCTGGTCTGCATTAGGGACATAGATGCTAGCTAGAGTTACTAAAGTGCCATTGTACATTCCTTTCACAAAGACAAATCTGCCTCTGGGATCAGTTCTAACTCCCATTTCTGTGAAGGCGGCTGTAGAGGCTATGAGTATTGCAGCGCCTCTGGATTTCTTTTGGGTGTTGTTACTGTAGTATGCTAAGTTACTACGTTTATAGTGGATTCTTGGTTTGAACTCCCCCCTGAAATGCGTCTCCTGCACGAAAATTATTTCGGCACCTCGTCTATCGATCTCCTGTGCTAGCATTGTGCGTTTCATGGGTGAATTGAGACCCCTAACATTTAGGGACATCAGTTTGGTTTGAGTCATGGTGGTAGGAACGATGATGAGAGTGTCTCAAATAGGACATGGAGAGCACCTGTCGGCAGTATCTTCAGTACGATAGTGATGGCAGGGGTGTTTGGTGGTAGGCGGACGGGGGATAACCGTAAACTATATACATTAAAACAGTAGGTGAGAGCCATCTCTGGCGGTGAGATTGGCGCTACACTTGTGGATAACTCGCCGTGTCCACAAGTGGGGTTGTGGCGCCTCTCTGGGGGGTGGTGGCCGGATCGCACGACCGGGTGTATCATAGGGGGGGAAGGGGCCTCACAGGGCATTGTAGAGGTGATACAACCTACCTCCTCTACTCTAACTAGGGAGGTCGGAGGTGTGTGTCGGCTAGGGAGTAATGTGTGCCCTGTGAGCCAGGCCGTCTGAAGCCCTGATGGGAAAGTTAACCTTATATTTTCCTCGTGAACTCTAGGGCCCGGTAACGGCAATGTAACATGTTATTCATAAAGGCATAACCAAGTTTAACACAATATAACATTTCAATATTTGCATCACAGTGGGAAAGTAATGACAGTCCATTCACTGGGTGTACCGCAGTGGATACCCGCATGGGAGGATTGAGAGATAGAATGGTAGATAGGAAGAAGAGAGAGAGTCTGATCATACGACCGTGTACTGCTCATGTCGGTGCTGCGTCTGCTCCGGGATGGTTCTGTCTACGACGTTTTCGAGGGGACTTTTGCCACTTAGGTTTGTGCGG